ATGGAATGAGTTCACAAGGTAACAAATACATGACTAATTTGTGTAACTAGATTGCGAATCAACTGGTGTCAGATACTTCAAATTAATTTTGTAGGATTTTATTTGGATTTTAGTATGATTTCATGGATTTAAAAATATTTATGTTTGATTTGGATTTGTGTTTAATTTTAATTAATGTTCAGTTTAGATTTTATATGTTTATATATATATATATATATATATATATATATATATATATATATCTTTATACCTTAATAAGCATTTAGCCTCAAATGCTGAATTTTAAGAGGTACAAATAATTATCCAATATATACAAACGGTTTATGCATTAAAGAAAAACAAATCTTATCGGTACCTCATTTGCAAATTGAACTCGTCAAAACTTGAAACAATATTCCCTTAAAGACGAATGAGTATTGTTAGGCAAATAGAATTTGTGGCTAATTGAATCGGTCAACAATTGACCAAGCCGGCCATATCTCTTCCCTATTCATTGGCACCTTCTCCTTTGAAACCCTAAGCTTATGTTTTTTTTCTTACTTTAGATTTAAATACTCTTAACATTTCCACTATTTCCTTGATACAAACACTCTCTCTCAACCAAAACCATAGATGCAAAAAAGTAGTAGTGCCTCTTTGTTTCTCTACTGGAATATGCCAAGAGCCACCACCGCTTCCTTACTTTCATCACCACCACTCACGGCCTCTCTTCAATAAAATGTTGTTCCAATAACAAGCTCCAACATAAAAATAATGAAATGACCTTGCCACCATCACACACATATTCACGATCACTTACTGTCGTCTTACTAACTGGAAATAGTGGTAATCACCACCATATTTCACTTTTCAATTCAGAAATTGAAATGTGAGGTTTCTGTAGCTTTTTGCACATGTAAGCTTACTTTTACTCTTTAATATATTTGATTCTATATTTTTCTAAATTTTATCCGATTCTGCCTAGTGACTCGCCGAGTTCATATGCTCAGAGTCCATCCATTCGCGACTCGGCTCGCCGAGTCAACCCATGACTCACCGAGTCCACCGATTTCCGAATCTTGTCTTGTCCAACTCGCTGAGTCTCCAATCGACTCACTGATTCGAGTCTTAACACGAAGGGTTCGGGGTTTCGCGACCTGACTCGCCGAGTCCAAGGAAAACTTCAACACTCTCGCCGAGTTGTTCATCCAACTCGTCGAGTTCCTCCCAATCTTCATACTACTCGCCGAGTCCACTCGAAGGACTCGCCGAGTCTATTCAGTTCTTCATACATTCAGAGGCTTTTGAGTCATGCAGGGACTCCAAATTGTAGATCCACTCTCCTAAAGCCCATTCCCCACGTAAAGTTTCAACATTTACGTGTAGCTAAGGAGATCTAGGCTAAACACACCACAAAGTGGGGTTTAAGACAACCATGCATCACCTACACTCTCAAGGTTGATACTTCATGAATCTCTGGGCCAAGACACAACTGGATTTGAAGGGATTCATGGGAATGTCCAAACCTGAAATGTATCCTACTTGGTCCAAAATCTCATAAAGAGGGACATGAAATGATCCAACAATTAACAAGGCAAGGAAGGAACTTGATTACCAAAATGAGCAGCTAAAGAGATGAATCTTCTGGATCCACAACCTTCCTCTTGAACCCTTAACTCCTTATTCTCCTTACAGGCTTCAAGAACACTCCAACTCTTCAACAATGGCTCACACAATCAAAGAGGGCACTAGGGTTTCGTGGAATAGCTTCTGGACAATAGGGGCTACAAATGAGGCTGATAGAAGGAGAATGAGATGCTTAAATAGGGTACAGGTCCCAGAATTAGGGCTTTCTCAACCCAGACCAGACTCGCCGAGTCAGTCTCCCCGACTCGCCGAGTCGGTCAGTTAAGCCGCGACACGGATCACGCTTCGACTCGTCGAGTTCCTCCTTGGACTCGACGAGTTAACCCCTTGACTTAGGGTTTTCCTTTCCTTTCTTGACCTTTCTGATTTCAGGTGCTACAAGTCTCCCCCACTTAAACTAAACTTCATCCTCGAAGTTCGTTATGGTCAACTGCCTTACCATCTGGTCACCATTTAACCGCTAGGTACACCCTCCGCCCATCCGATCCAAAATTTAAAGATGTCATCTTCAGAATAACCCGTTTCTTACTACCCTTGAGTACAACACCTTTATCCAACTTGCAAAGATACTGATACTCCTGTTATACTTACCCCTGATTCGCAAGGGGTTTTACCCTTCTAAGGTATTTTCCACAAGCAACAACCTTCCCAATTTCTCCTAAGGACTGATCTTTTGTTGAAACCGCAAATCCAGCCACTCCCAGTGCCGGCCATCATACCAATACTCACAGAATAACCCTCATACAATAGTCAGTGACATTGTAATCATCGTTGCTAGTGGCGATTAGTAGCAAAACTTACAGATTTGGAGGGGGAAGACACTACTGGTGGTTCTATAGTGGTTGAATGGTGGTGGATCTCATAGATCTAGAGCGGAAATCGCACATCTAGATGGTGGCACCGGTGTCGGCTTGGATTCCACCGGAACTCCTTTGTCTGAACATTATATTTTCTTGGAAATCCTTCCACGTCTCGAGATCCCATCAGAACTCCTTCCACATCACGAGATCTAGCTGAAAAACTTATAGATCTGAAGGAGGAAATTATAGATCTAGCGTCAAAAATCATAGATCTGGAGGTGGATCTGGTAGAGCGGTGGTGGAGACATCGTCACTGGTGGTGGTGGTGGTGAATCCGCCATCACCGGTGGTGGCGGTGGTGCAACAAGCGATGAGAGTGGTGGTGTTCATCAGATTGGTGGTTGAAGGATATAAATGAAGGTTTTTGCTCTAAATGTTAAAAGGGAAGTTGAAGTTAATAAGTTTTAAATGCATCAGGTAATGATTTTTATGGTTCTTATTCTTTTTTCGTTCTCATTTGAACCTTTATATATATATATATATATATATATATATATATATATATATATATATATATATATATATATATAGAGAGAGAGAGAGAGAGCTAGGTTTAAATGTTTTTAGCAAGTATTGTGTGCCTAAATGCACCAATGAGAATTCAAGAAATAATAAACAATTAAATAAATAATTTAAGGGTATTTTGGACCTTTTATACTTTTAATTAAGGAAGTCATTTAATTGAATCTTGCAATTAAGGAAATAAAATAAGTATATTTGACCTAGCCTCTCTCTTAAATCCTATCTAATAAAACCTCCAGAATCCTCAAACTCTTTTCACTCCTAGTTCACCAACCGGAAGATGCGATTGAAAAATTCTTCAATGGCAGAAGATGCGAAGGAAGGCAGTCAACGGTTCTTCTTTCCTCTCCCGTTGTCGGCAACAAAGAAGATCAAGGGGAAGATCCCCCTGTGCTCATCTTCATTGGATTAAGGAGGAGAAGCACGATTGGAATCAGAAATCGGGAAGCACCTCCAGTGATTCACCGATTCGAAGGAGGATGAGGAAAATATCGATTCCATGAAATCGTTTATCGCTAATCGAGTCATCTGTCATCAAAATCGATTCTAATCTTATTAATTGATTTTGTGTTTGAACTAAATCAATCTGTTGAACAAAAATCGGCGTTAATTTAGGATCTTGAATCGTGTTTGGTATTGATTGAAATATAAGGAATTAGTCGGATATGGTTGACTTGATTCACATCGGGTTTGTGATTGCGAAAGGTCAAGGAATCGGGTTCGCACTCATGATCTATTGACTAGTTGTGAATCTCTCACAATTGCTTTGAAGAACGACTCGGATTTGGAACTTAATCGGGATGATTTGAGTAGGTATTCTTGCGAGTCAACCATAAAAGTCAAAATTGGTTTAAAAGTCAAACCTACAAACGTTCATTTACTTTGAAGGTGGGTAAAGTATTTACTGGATTTGGCATGCTATAAATCTAGGTAATTGCTCTTCATCTATGTTTTTCTATAACACCATGAAATTTGGGGGAATTTTTAAATCTAAAGATGGGGAAAAACATGATAGTAGTATGCTGTTTTTTTCAACTATACTGCATGTTTTGCCATTTCTGACTTTTCAAATATTCATGATTCAGATATTCTTTTGGAATTTAATGTATGTTAGGATGATGCAGGAATGATGAGGAAACTTATGAAAAAAAAATATATGATACTTCGTTCTCAAAGAATGAAGAAAAACAACAATATTCTTTCAGAATTTCAGGATTCAACATCCAAAAACAGCAATATTCTTTCAGAATTCAAGAATTCAAGAAGAAAACATGGAGAACGAGAGTATTCTAGCAGAATGTTGTTATTTTTTTTAAGAATGTTATTCGTTTTTGTTTATATTCTTTTAGAATATTTATAACTATATTAAAATGTATAAGACTTTTAGTCTGTAAGAATATGTATAAATTTGTATTTAAGTTCGGATGTATAAAAATATATTAGAATGTTTGTTATTTGAACATCTTATTCAAGAGTTTTGTTTTTCTTCAGTAATATTCTATTAGAATAAAATTATGAAACAGTATCATTCTAACAAAAAAATATTCTGATAGAATAAAATCAGTAAAAATTGAAATTGAATTAATTAAAAAATTCAGATTTTTTTAAATGAGGAGAATTAATCATCCCTAAAAATCCGAAAATTTCCTTTTATAAATGTAGTTAATTGTCCAAAATACCCTTTTGCTAAAAATTATGTGATTATATGATACATATTACCCCATTGTAATATCATACACTCTCAAATTATGTCCATTGATTAATTTCATCCGTTGGTCCAGATCTATGCATTCTGGCACACAATACTTAGTACAAACAAAATAACCTAAACATATATATATATATATATATATATATATATATATATATATATATATATATATATATATATATATATATATATATATATATATATATATATTTTTTTTTTCTTTTTCTTTTTGTTATTGAAAATGTTGTGCGAGTCCCGCCGAAACCACCCATGGGGCAAGTCTTAACGGTGGTTGCAGGTTCTTCGTCTCCAGCATTTCCGTCACCCCTCTGCTCAACCACTGCAGTCCTCCTCTGCTCCGAAGATGCTTCCAAATAGAACGGGCGAACATGATGCTACGAACGATGGGGCCACATATGGCAGTTCATTGCCTCCCCTCGTTTCCTTTATCACAGCAAAATTTCCTGGTTTGTTTTTCTTTTTTTATCACTCAAGCAATAGTCACAATACCCACCTCCGTACTGGATTTATGCTGACCACCTGATCGTTTTTACCCAATACTCAGCACCATAATCGATCCCTGTTGCAAGTCTTAGTCGTATACTCATTGCTGCTGTTAATTTAGAGTAGGACTATTCGACTTTGTTATTAATCTGGTGACACTTATTTTAGGGTAGGTTTAGTAATGCAATCGGTCTAATAAATGATATGTTCGTTTTTGGGGGATTTTGTAGTTAGGTTTGCTTCAGGGTTGTTAGAAGAAAAAAAAAGGATGAACTAAATGAAGAAGACGAGCGCATACAAATGATATACCAGATGAGGGAAAAAGTTAACTGCTGGCAGTTGACCTCGGAGGAACGAAAAGTTTGAGGTATTCTTATAATATGGACCATAGGATGATTTTTATAATTAAGTCAAAATTTTATTTTAAAGTATATGTATCACATCTAATGTTATACTTAAAAACTCAAAGAAGTACATAAATGACAGCTTCTGTTGTTTGAGTATTTCACCCACTGAGATTCATAATACATGACAGACCACTCTTTCTCTCTCTCTCTCTCTCTCTCTCTCTCTCTACATATACATATAAATTAGTTGTATCTATCTATCTCTATTCAATTCACGTAGCAGAGGTGCTGTTTCAGATTTTGTTCTATCTGATGGATGCGGCTTTGCATGGAGGAGAAAGTAGTAATCAACAGGGTGTCTCAGGTGACCGGAGAGTTTATCAGAAGGCTGCGCTTCTTGTCCATATTGTATTCATTTTCTTTGGTTTACACCTTTTTTTTTTTTTGTCATCCATAAGAGTGTATTTATACAGAGGAAAAATACAAATACCAAAATTTCATTGATTATAATACCAACATTACATTAATCCTAACTGATACATCACTTTAATCGTGATTGATACTTGCCAAGTGTTGCTTAAATCTATACTATTTTTTAAGTTATTTAACTGCTGTTTGCTATTTCTAGGCTGAAGATGGAAATGGTTTACCAGAGGAAATCCTCGAGTTACCAAACTCTGAATCTGCAAAGTTATATTACATATTCATCCGCTTCAACATTATATGGAAACTTAATTGTTTTGCACTCATAACTTTGAATTTCTTTGAGGTTAGTCATCTTTTCTGTAAACGAATTTCATGTTATCTTAAGTTATTGTTGTAGCTTTTTCTATCATGAGTATTACTTATTCTTATTACTTTCAAAATCTACAACAGAAACCATTATGGTGTAGCAGTGTTTCCAAGATCTCTTGTGGTAACAGAGACTACTATTATCTTGGGGAGCTTCCATACTTGACTAATGCAGGATCTTTGGCATATAAGGTTTGATTCCTGTGTATTATGTAGAAACTTATCCATTGGAACCTGATTGTAAAAATATAAATCGTCCCATTCTTTTATTCTTTTCCTACCCGTATAAAAACCCAAATTTCTATAACTATATATATGAAGGTAATCTTAATTCTTAAATCACTGACCTACTTTCTTATTGCAATTCTTGTGGTGCATACTCTGTTTCCTGTTTTATATAAAGGAGGTCAGCTCTATTGGAGAAGCCATGTTAATAAGCTAAAGGTACACGATTGCAAAATCCTGCACATGAAATTGCTATTTGAAGTTTATAATCTGATTATATTCAATTGAGTGTGTTTTCACTTTTCAGGCAATTGCACTGTTAATTCTGGCTGCTGATTTAATAGTTGATATCCTCAATCTCTCTCCAGTGGCCATATATTCATTTCCTTTGAGGATTGCACCTTTTTTTAGGGTCGTTTTCTTTATCTTGAGCATCAGGTATGGCATGAGCATAACTACATACAAAAGACTCCAATAGGATATTAACTAGTATCCCAAGGGAGTGACACAAGAATCAATATTAATGGCAACAATGAGAAAATTAAAAGGATGACTATGTTATGTGGTGAGGCTAATTTCTTTTTATTTATCTTGAGTTAGGGATTTACAAGATAGCCTCATCATATTGGCTGGAATGCTTGGCACATATCTCAATGTTATGGTTTGTATTCCATAACCTTATCATAAATTTATACTTTCACATCACATTACTTACATCATCATCATTTATAACTGCTGATAAATTATTTCTTGAATGCAGGTTTTGTCACTTCTGTTTCTTTTGATCTCCAGTTGGTTAGCTCAAGTCATCTTTGAAGACACTCAACAGGGAACTACAATCTTTGTTTCTTACCGAGCTACATTGTATCAAATGTTCCTTCTATTTTCCACATCCAACAATCCAGATGTTTGGATTCCTGCCTACAAGTTAGTTACTTAATGTCCATGAATATAGTCCAGCTTAGAATCTGGTTCTTTTTTTTTATTTTTATTTTTATTTTTTATTCCCATTTACTCCAATATGGATAAAGTGGATGAATGGCTAATGATGTCTATCTGGATATAGTGTTGTATACACAGGTCTGTTTCTTTTCTAGACTACATAACCATCTGAATGAGACTAAATGACCATTTTACCCTTACATTCCAATTTTTTCCTGAATTCATCAATTTTAACGTGAGAGGATTGGGAGGAAAAAAAGAAGAACAAATAGGTAAAGGGTTAGTGTCGTAACACATTAAGCCATGTTTTTTTTTTTTGCTTAACCCATTAAGTCAAAAAAAGAAAAGTCATATATAGCTATCCAGATTAAGTGTCTAACTCATTAAGCTCATTTAGTCAAAAGAAACAACCCCTTAGTCCGAAATGCATAAAATAATGTGTATATATGCAACTATAGCTTTTAAAATGACTTCTTATGTTCTCCATGAGCTTTTACCATTTTTTTTTGTTTCCATCCATAGTAGTAATGTGTCTCCCTCTTCTTTCCAGATCATCAAGATGGTCTTCCCTTTTTTTTGTTCTTTTTGTCCTTCTGGGTGCTTACTTTTTCACAAACTTGATTCTTGCTGTTGTGTATAATGGCTTTAAATCTGAGGTACATCTTTCTTGAATCCTTTATATTTCTTTAATGATTACTTCTGAAAGTCCATCTAATAATTTCAATTCATGTTGATGTTCAAAGTTTCTCCGAGTAAACAACTCATATCTTTGGCCAAATTCACTGAAACTTAGAAATAACTGCTGCAAGTTTATTGAATTTGAATTGCTCCACTCCAGTTCTTTAGGGATCGATATTTTAGTAACTCTGATTATATAATTTTATTTTACCTTAGGATAGAACTTGTTAGTTGTTACACATGCCATTTTAACTGCAGCTAGCTAAACAAGTTGGTAAGAAGGACCGAATGAAGACAAGAATATTGGGTAGATCCTTTAATCTCATTGATGAAAATGTGAGTACAAGTCATTAATGTTGTGAAATTTCCTTCAAGGCAAACATAATCCTCTCATCCAATTCCTTTTTTAAATCAACAGGCTGTTGGCACTCTTGATAAGGATCAATGTTTCCAATTGTTTGAAGAACTTAATAAATATAGGTAATTAATTCTCTTTCTGAAAAACACATATATTACGCTTGTGCCCCCCATCTTGCTATTCAGGGCACTAAAAAGCACCTTTTATACAGGACACTAGCAAAAATATCAAAACAAGACTTTGAGTTGATATTTGATGCACTAGATGACAGCCATGATTCTAAGGTAATTTTTGGTCTATAGCCTATTGTTGGAATGAATTACTGAAATTATTCTTCTTCCTAATGTTATACATAGAATGGATTCTTATCCCTTTAGTCTTTCTAGCTATTGCATGCAAAGAAAATCACTTGGATTTTTTTCTTATATTTTTATATTTTCATGTAGATTGATGCATCGGAATTCAATGATCTTTGCAGTGCAATTGATATAAAGTTTCAAGAGGAGGATGTGGTTAGTTGCTATGAATGATGCACATTTTTTTTTTTATCAATTTCATATGGAATAACAAAAATATGTATCTAATTCATCTTTTGTTGTGTTGTGCCTTCATTTTGCAGGAACCTTGGTTAAGAAAGTTCCCCTTCTATGATTCCCCCTTCTCTAAAACACTGAAAAGCTTTGTAATAAGTCCAATATTTGAACGCGTAATTGTTTTTCTTCTCCTCTTGAATCTGGCTTCTATTATTATCGAAAGGATGGTATGACCTAAATCCTTGATGGCTACTTTTATTTTTCCCATTACCACATTTTCAGTTTTTCCTTTATTGAGGCATTGTACTTTAAAAAATCTATCCAGTTATACGTCATAACATTGTACTTTCAGTTTTTATCTTATTAGAACATTATACTTGGAAAATTTCACCTATTTATAAAATGTAAATCATTTGTATTTGTATGATATTACAAGTCAATGAAATTGTATTGCTATTTCTTGCATTTAACTCTATTCTTAATGTGATTGTTGAATCAATTACTTAACTAATGATGTACATTCTGACTCTTTCTTGGACAGCTTGATACAAAAAACAACTCTGGTCAGAAGTTGATGCAGAAGGTGGAGTTGGTGTTTGGTAAAGAAAAACTCATACTTTATATTTGGTTATGTTCACCCATCTTTGTTTAAAATATAATCTTTGGTTTAAACTTTAAAGTAATATACTAATTCATATAACAGCAGATTGATGATTTCTTTTGCATGCAGGTTGGATATATGTAATCGAGATGGCTTTGAAAGTTTATGCATATGGATTTGAAAACTACTGGAGGGATAATCAAAATCGATTCGACTTCATTGTCACATGGTTCATAGGTACATTTCACAATTCCAGTACTAGTTTATGTGATTCTTCCTCTTTCAATGGGCAGAGTGCAGACATATAAAACAAGTAAATGATAACTTTTTCCTTGTATGAATGTTTGCAGTTATTGGAGAAACAATAACATTCATATCTCCAAAGGAGCTAGAGTTCACTTCAAATGGGGAGTGGTAAGGCTGTAATATCTTTTAAGTTTTAATTAATGAGATGCTATACATATGTTTTGTTCAAAATTCTGTTGAAATGCAAAATTTATATATCTCTATTGTTTCCAAATACGCACTTGTAAGCATTGCTCCTAAAGGCTAAAGATATTCTTACTTTCCATTGTATTGTTTCCAGGATTCGCTATCTTCTAATTGCAAGGATGATAAGATTGATTAGGCTCATAACACGTGTTCATAGTTTTCATGCCTTTGGTAGTGTATTTTTAACAGTGATCCCAAGTTTGATGCCATACCTGGGCACCATCTTTTGTGTTATGTGCATTTACTGTTCCATGGGTATACAGGTACTTCATATGTGTGTGTGTATACATATATATACATACATACATACATATATATATATATATATATATATATATATATATATATATATATTGCAAAATATATCTGTAATCATTACAACTTAGTCTTTTCCTTATGGTGGCTAGATCTTTGGTGGGAAAGTCAATGCTGGGAACCCAGATTTACCAAGTACAGATCTTGCTGATAACGAGTATCCTACATGAATCATTTGCTACAATGCTTTATTTATTATTCACTATATTTATTATTATGAAGCAACTTTCATCTAATATCTTCTTATAATATAAAATGAATCTAATATTTCGGTTTAGACAATGATATATTGTTAGCTTTTCGCGCGTTATTTAATTTCCCACATATGCATGGGTTAGTAAGTAAGTTTAATTCCCTTGACTCTGTCAGTTACTTGCTATTTAATTTTAATGACTATCCAAATGGCATGGTGACCCTCTTCAATTTGCTTGTGATGGGAAACTGGCAAGTTTGGATGCAGGTATGATTGATTTATGTGCAAGTTATATATGTATTGTATACTATCGATGATTAAGATGTTAATCATGCATCAAGTAAAAAAAGAAACAGCATCATTTTCATTTAATAAAAAAAAGACATGAAATTTCAGGCTTATTATACTAGGTTTAACCAAAACAATTCTATCGGTATGTTTCTTTTTTCTTCCATCAAAATGATGAGTATATGAAGCAAAGACTGTTCTTTTTTTGACTGAATGAGAGCAAATGACCATTTTATCCTTTTGTTGTCAAAAAGAAACAGACGAGAAAATTTATCCTTCTTACCTTTGAAAATGCTCTTGTTCATCATTTATATGAGTATGACCTCAGAGGACATTTTAAATTTGCATTTTCAGTTTTTCATTGAGCATAGGAAATATGAAATATTTAGATTGTAAATTATTATTTTACTTCAGGATTATGGGACATTGACAGGAAGTGGTTGGACCTATGTGTACTTCATCAGCTTTTATCTAATAACAGTTCTACTCATTCTCAACTTGGTGAGTCTTAGTGATTAGTATTCAAGGCACCCACATTTTTATTCTTATCAATTTTAATTACCAAACATATATATATATATATATATATATATATATATATATATATATATATATATATATATATATATATATCATATGCACAAAACATCGCTCATAGATCCACCAAATTATTCCACCTATCTGTTCGGTTCTCAGGGATTACAATGACAGATTATAGCAGAAATAATAATAATGGAACCATGAATCTATTTGCATTTGTTTGGATTTTGGAAAGAAAGAACAGTTTTGCATTATAGCAAAAACTTCTTTTAATCATTTGCAGATCGTGGCATTTGTGTTGGAGGCATTCTTTGCTGAGATAGATCTGGAAGGTTCTGAGCAAGAAGAAGAAGAAGAAGAACATCGGGAGGTTAGTGATGTTCAATTAAATCATATGTTACCATATCAATTATCAAATTCATTTCCAAGTTCCACTTTCAAAAAGGCTTCTAATAGGTTTGCATTGCTAAGCTTTGGTATAATAGCCAAATCCCAGATATAATGTGTTGAAGCTCAAATGGTTGATATGTGTTTAGCATACCACAAATAAATTGCTATTGTAGTTGCATTGATTTTGATTTGAAATAATAAATAATTGTTATTATTTTTATTATTTCTTTTTTGGTGGTAATGAAAATTCATATTCATCTTTTCCATGATTACAATATTTAATTATCGTATTTTATAATTTAAATCCAGGAAACAGGAGGGAGGAGACGCCGTGCCATAGGGTAAGTAACTACATAAGCAGATCATATTTTAGTTGTGAATACATACTCAATACCCATTTCAAATTTTCAATGATGTAGGAAATAGCAACCTACTTTCATTTATTAATTTACTCTAGCATCCTACTATTATTTCTTCTGTTACAACGTTGTGCTCTAATTTTATTTCATAATTCTACTTCAAAAAAAATTCCCAATTATAACATTGTAGTTTATCCAATCAATTGTAACAACGAAAATTGCTTTGTAAATAGATTCTTCAAAGTACAATGTTATAACAAGAAATGAAAGTATAATGTTATAATAAAGAAATCAATGAAAGTACATTGCATTTAACAAAAACTTTGTGATAAATTTGTCAGCACAAAAACACGCAATCGTAGGACTGATATTCTACTTCATCAAATGCTGAGTGCAGAGCTGCATGAAATACGACGAAGTTCTGAACCTTAAATGTATAAATATCTCTTGGTATATCTATAGAAAATAAATTAATTACTACACCTAATTCATCTTATTCATGCTTTTTGTGTTTGTGATATGTGCTTACAGATGTAAAGGAAAACGATTACACTAATTGCAACAGTTACTATTCCATACTTTCCTGCTTGAGGCCAATTTCTAATGTTTATATGGAAGCGGATTACAAAAGCCTATCGAGATAGAGAATTTAGTTTGGTTTTCTTGCTTCAACTAAAAACCCAAATTATTTTGATACTTCTTTTATGTGGACTTTTTTTTTTTTTTTTTTTTTTTTTTTTTTTTTTTTTTTTTAAACTTGTAGATAGAAACTTTTGATACTAATATGTGGATTGATATTCTAATAAATTTAATTTATATGTCGTAATTATTACTTACTACTTCATTTTACATCTTAATCATGTGCATTGTTTACTTCTTCATAGTAAGCCATCCTACAACATATCTTCGTAATCGTTACTTTTTGTACTTTACATTTAAAAAAAATCAATGGACTTTGTAAGATATTAGAATAAAAAGAACTTTCATTTTGTGGGTGTTACTATTCTCTTCCCTCTTATATAGGGGTGACAAATTGGGCAATTGTGTCGTGTTTTTATTTGACATGACACAACACAATAATTTTTTATGTAACATGAACATGACATGATGTTGTGTTTTTTTAACTAACACGAAAACGAACCAATTAAAAAACGAAAACACGAAAAAGATAACATAAAATAACAATTACTTTACTTAGTTAATACTTAATCATACATAACACGATACACACGACAAACATGAAAAATAAATGCTAAATCGTGTCAATTTTGCATCGAATTTTGAACACAAACATGACATTGTGTTTTTTACACTTGACACGAATTTAAATTCCATTTTCATCCCAATTTTGTTTCATGTCATGTATTTTTATCGTGTCGTGTTATGAATTGAAACCTCTACTCTTATATCTCTTAAAATTTCTTAGCTTTCAATAATAAGGTCATGGGTATATACTCCTTACAGAGCTTCCGTAACCATGATGCGGCAAGGCATTTTACACATGAACACAACGTCAAATGGGTGCAGACGTGCAATTGTGGTGTGGAGTGAATCCCTTTATGGAGAGAGAGAGAGAGAGAGGTTTCCCTTTCCCTCTCTCTCTATACATAAACACCACCATCTTGGGTTGTGATGGTGTTAGTGGAGTGGTCTTGTGCCGAGGTGGATGCCCCTCCCGTCTTGCATACCGTATGACCTAACATATATCGTGCCCTTTATGGTATATGAACTTCACAAAATAGTCAATACACATATCTTTATTGCATAAAAGTAAACAACGTAGCTTAAACAACTTTGGTCTCGCAACTTGAAAACATGAAACTTGAACTGAGTGTCATATCTCATGCATACATGTCTCACTATATGAACCAAGCCCATTAATGTGATAACTTGGTTTTAATTGTGCTTTCAAACTAAAATGACGTACACTGTATTGTATAAAATGAATATAATAAGTCAATCATATGAGATCACATGAGATCTCTGTATGTAATGAAACATCTTTTGTGTGAGTTACTTGATCTGGTCATCAACAATTCAATTTCAAAAATATTTTAATAAAAAGAGCATCACTTAAAAGAATCACTTTGCAACTGAAAACCTCAAATAGTCAAGTTCTTACCATTTAAAGATGTTTAAATTGTTAAAGCATACGAGGGTGTAACGAGATAATCAAGTGACAATAGTTTAAAGTAAACATTTATAGATTCATCTTAAATTCAAAATAAAGAATCATCTAAATATCCAAGTGATAAATCCATCATTGGTCTTCAACTAAGTCTTTCGATATGAATATATCTAAATATATGTGGAAATTTTTAGATTAGGCTTGAAAAACCTAATCAACATTTTCGGAACCAACCTAGGCGTTGAATAATGTTAACAACCCCAACCTAAATTCAAACTTTTAAAACCTTTTCTTAAACATAAAAATATTGATAGCATTTATATTTAGTGAAAAGAAACATTTACAATATAAGCATTGCCAATTCATCATCACAGATCATTAATTATATTTAGGGAAAAGAAACATTTACAGTATAAGCATTACCAATTCATCATCACAGGTCATTAATAACAAAACATCACTACTAAAATTGCAATGCATATGCTTTTATTTTCCTGATGTACAAGTCTCTACTCTTATAAAAGTCATTTTTTCTGTAAAGGTCATGACAACTCGAAGCAAAAACAAGATATTAGCACTTTTAACTAAGGGTGAGCATGGTGCGGTTTGGTGCGGTTTTTGTATAAAACCACAACCGCAACCGCAAATTGCGGTTTTTTAAAACCAAAAACCGAAAATTGCGGTTTTGATTCGGTTCGGTTTTGTGGTTATTTTTGCGGTTTTTCGGTTATTTCGGTGCAGTTTTGGATTTTAACCACAAAATAAGGTGGTGTGGTTTTTCGGTTAAAAGGGTGCGGGTTTTCATGTTCAAAACAAAAAATTTAGTCGACTTTCATTTATTTCTAGATTTTCATTCCAAATAAATCACAATTTTAGTCCATTTTTATTCTTTCAGGTTAGCATTTTATTATGTTATATTGAATTTATTTCATTCAAACAATTAACAATATGTCTAACAGTTACTAACAACCATTTACGCACCAAAAATTAAATAATAAAAATCATAAGATGATAAAATTGATAAATTTCAACATTGTCTAACTTCGAAATACTAATTTATTTTTATCAGTTAAATATAATTATTATAAATATTTCAATAATATATGAAATTATGCGGTTTGCGGTTATTTCGGTTAATTTGGTGCGGTTATTAAATATAAAACCGAACCGCACCGTAGTTTTTCGGTTTTCAAAATTAAAAACCGCACCATCGATTTTTGTTTCGGTTTCGGTTATTCGGCTTTGGTTTTTACGGTTATTTTGGTTTTTTGGGGTTTCGGTTCGGTTTCTGTTCAACCCTACTTTTAACTTTTTTTTATCCAACATTTAAAAATATTTATTAACAATAATAATAATTTTTTTTCTCATGTAGTATAAAACTTATAAAACATTTCGTCTGATATGTAAAGTAAAAGGCGGTGTCATTGAATTTCACGAACAATAAAATAAAATCTCAAAACAAAAAGCCAAAGATCAAACTCTCAAACTCTTAAAAACATTCCCTCTAAATTTGAACACCATCTTTTATAGTTCTCTCGGTAATGTCGTTAAACAGCTTCAAGGATCTTCTCAAACCCTGTGCGTACCAGTCAGAATCACCATCTTCCTCTTCATACTCACTAACTGCGTCGACTCTAAACCCTAGAAAACCACCCAAATCTTCCCTCTCTCAACAACTGTTACGACTCGAAGATGATTATAGTTCCTTACCCACCTTGCTTCCTACAAAACAATCGAAGGCATCTAGTCAATTTAAGCAACACGATCCACTGGTCGATGACGTTATCGAAGGAAATTTTGAAGACGAGGAGGAAAAAAATAAAGATTTAGAAAAACAAAACGGGTTTCGGATTGCAAGACCTAAGTTGGAAGCCCCTCAATTTTTTGATCCTACCGGACCTTATGAACCTTTGGTGCTTTCCGAATCCGGCCAAAATCCTGTTGTGCAGGTAAATTATGAAAACCCCGTCTAAATTAATGAATTCCACAAGTACCTATCTTGTGATTTTCTTGCTGTGTTTACTGTTCTATTTATGTTTTTGATTGTTGTATTCTATGTTAAGCTAGAGGGAAAAGTAGGTAGTGAAATACTTAAGGGTGTTTGGATGTGCAATTTCAAAGTGATTATTGTTAGTTCAAGAATAGAATCAAATAATCAGTAGTTTAATTTAAAATAAGGGATATATCGGATAACTTTATATTGTTTCTTGAATCAATGGATACTCGGGTAATATCATATTAATCTTGAGAATCTGTTTTCTTGCCACTAAGATGAGTCAAAAATAGAATCGATATTTGACAGTAGGGAAATTTTAAGTTTTTACTTAAAGTTGGCTATTTTTGGGTGCTGTTTCCTTATTAGGCTTAACTGGACAACACTTAATCGATGGATGAAAGTTTAGGAGACTTATCATCTGACAAACTGTTCTCCAGGTTCCTGCTTCCATAAATTGCAGGCTGCTAGAACATCAAAGAAGTGGTGTAAAGTTTTTATACAACTTATACAAGAAGAATCATGGAGGCATTCTTGGGGATGACATGTGAGTAACTTTAAAAATTGTTGGAAGTTGGGTATTTAACTATTTATCTTATCTATTTTTCCCAACATTTTTCATGGTTTTGCTTTATGATTGGTCAGAGTTAAGTTTCTTTTCATAACTTATCAGGGGATTAGGGAAAACTATCCAAGCAATTGCATTTCTTTCTGCCATATACAAAAAAGACGAAGAACATGACACCACAACAAATCCAAACAAGAACAAACAAGAAACAAAAGGCCCTGTCCTAATAATCTGTCCATCTTCCGTAATCCAAAACTGGGAAATCGAATTCTCCAAATGGTCAACATTCAAAGTTGCTATATACCATGGTGCCAATCGTGACATAATCTTCAACAAAATCGAATCTCATGGGATTGAAATAGTTATAACAAGTTTCGATACATACAGAATCCATGGAAACATTTTATCCGAATTAAATTGGGAAGTTGTGATAATCGATGAAGCTCATCGGCTCAAAAACGAAAAATCAAAACTTTATGAAGCCTGTTTATCCATCAAAACCCTAAAAAGATATGGATTAACAGGAACCATAATGCAAAACAAAATCATGGAATTATTTAATCTGTTCGATTGGGTGGTCCCCGGGGGGTTGGGGACCCGTGAACATTTCAGGGATTACTATGATGAGCCTTTGAAACATGGGCAAAGATCCAGTGCTCCTGCAAGATTTGTTAAAATTGCAGAAGAGAGGAAACAACATTTGGTGTCAGTTTTGGGGAAATTTCTGCTGAGAAGAACGAAAGAGGAGACGATTGGACATCTTATGATGGGTAAAGAAGATAATGTTGTGTTTTGTGCTATGAGTGAGGTGCAAAAAAGGGTTTATCAAAGGATGCTGCAATTACCTGATGTTCAATGTCTTATTAATAAGGATCTCCCTTGTAGCTGTGGGAGCCCACTTAAGCAAGTGGAATGTTGTAAAAGAATTGTTCCAAATGGTGTTATTTGGCCTTATCTTCATAAGGATAATCCTGATGGTTGTGACTCATGCCCTTTTTGTCTTGTTCTTCCTTGCCTCACCAAGCTCCAACAGGTAAAATCTTTTTATATTGAGATTTTCTAATAATAATAATTGAGCAAACAGTCAATAAAATGGTGGAAAGTGTGATAATTACAGATAAGCAATCATTTGGAGCTTATTAAACCTAATCCAAGGGATGACTCGGATAAAGTGAAGAAAGACAAGGAATTTGCTTCAGCTGTTTTTGGTACAGATATTGATCTGGTGGGAGGGTATTATCAAAACGAGAGTTTTATGGGTCTAAGTGATGTTCAACATTGTGGGAAGATGAGAGCTTTAGATACTTTGATGACATCTTGGATTATAAAGGGGGATAAGATTCTTCTCTTTAGTTACTCTGTCAGGTAATTTGATTTATACAACACTCTTGTATTACATTTGTAACACACAAAAAAGGACAAAAAGCAATGTGAAGATAGATATAGATCATAGATATACATAGTACAGTGATAACTGATAAAGGAAAGGATTGTGTTGTTGTAATGTAGGATGCTGGATATACTTGAAAAGTTTCTTATACGCAAAGGATACAGCTTTTCAAGGCTTGATGGGTCCACCCCAACTGCCATGCGCCAATCTCTAGTTGATCACTTCAATTCAAGTCCAAGCAAACAGGTCAATTCTTCCAAATACCAACTTTACATATACTTTTTTATCTTACAAACTACAATTTCCATCAGGTTTTCCTTATATCCACACGTGCGGGTGGGCTTGGGCTGAATCTTGTGAGTGCGAACCGTGTGGTTATATTCGACCCGAATTGGAACCCGGCCCATGATCTGCAGGCCCAGGACCGGTCTTTTCGGTTTGGACAGAAGCGGCATGTGGTGGTGTTCCGGATGCTGGCGGCTGGTTCCCTTGAAGAACTTGTTTACACCCGTCAAGTCTACAAACAACAGCTCTCTAATATTGCTGTTTCTGGGAAACTCGAAAAACGTTATTTTGAAGGTGTCCAGGTATAGGTTTAATTATATATCAAACATTTCAATTTCATTCTCTTGAGAATTATCATATCTATCAAACACACTTTTTTTTTTTTTTTTTTTGATCCAGGATTGCAAGGAGTTCCAAGGCGAGCTTTTCGGGATCAGCAATTTGTTTCGTGATTTGTCAGACAAACTGTTCACGAGTGACATCATTCACTCACATGATAAGCAACCAACAGATGATACTGAAAAAAAACAAACTTTGTCTGATTTCGGGATGTGTTTTCTTCCTCCACAATCACGCGAAACATTTTCTTTAGAATCCCAAAGCCCTGATATGTTGGGTGAGTTTTTTTTGGTTCCTGTTTGAGTTCATCATAACAAAATAAAAAAAATTGGAAGTACGATGTTATATTACTCCTGTTGGTTTTCCTATTTTACTGATAATGTTTTTTTTTTTTTTTTTTTTTTTTTTTTTTCAGGTATTGTTTACGCACATCGGAACGAGGATATCATCAGCCATGGGCGTGGATGCAACGTGACACAAGAAGTTGATACATCCACACAAATTCCCATTTTGCCCCCGGTCCCTAAGAATAAGAAGAAACCAATTACAGTTACAGTTACACATAGTGACCATGAAAATGGAAAAGCTTCACGTAAAATGAAGCAGTATAGGCTGGTTGCCCGGTTTATGGGAATGGAAGTAGTGGAGTTTAGCAAGTGGGTCCTATCAGCAAGTGTTAGTGAGAGAGAACGCGTATTACGAGACTTCAAAAGGCGAAAGGAGAAAATTCCCCTTACACTTAGGTGAATGAATATAACTTACATATTGTACAATGTAGATGTTGTAATTCATAGAAGCTATTTAGATTTTCAAGAATACCCCTTGTGTATATTAGCTTTTTACGCAATTTGTTGTGCATCTTTTTGTTATAATAATTTTGTAAATTATACTATTATACAAATATACCCAAATAAATTATTTGTATATTATCATTTGAAATAATTGTAATATTGATAAAACAAACATGTTATTAAGTACAAAAAAATGCTTATCAACATATTTAAATAAATATTACACATTCGTTTATAGAAATATTATACTTTGCAAAAGGGCATCAATGAAACTTTAACATCAAATTTGGTGCTAATGGATATTATAAGGTCATCATATTTGGTGTAAAATCATGTTTGGATGGAGTTATTTGGAGATTCGTCATAAAGAGCTTCAAACAGTTGGGAGGGGGGGCGGGGGGTTGGTTCCCCGCGTCTTGACACCGTTTTCGTATGCCAACTCACCCAATTCATTTCTCGTTATGACCCAAACCGTATACTCTTAAAGAGATATAACTTGATACTCTTAAAGAGATATAACTTGCTGACGAAAGAATAAAAAAATCCGAAATGATCTTTAATTTAAGTTTTGGAAACTTTACAAACGTATTCATCTGGATTTCCTATTTAAAGCTACAAACTCACTCTCATCGTCACTTTCTGAAGTTATCGATCTAACAATTAAGCGGCCGCCACAGTTCGCCTAAGCCTTCAATCTCGCCGTCGCATTCACTGGAAAATATGGAAAACTTCATGGGGGTCGTTTTCATACCGAGGTTGTCTACTTTCCATCTACATCCTGCTCCATATCCTTACGCCTTCCATCTACACCACGAAGAAAACCTAACGATAGCATGTCACATTCCACAGGAAGATATGGAAAAAATTCTTGGGGTTGTTTTCATGCTGACGCTCACTAATTTCTATCTACCTCCTGCTTACGCATATCATCATCTTCTACTTCAAGCACATCAACGAGAAAACATGTTATACAGAGAAAAAACGCCGACAAAATCCACCTGGACATTCCTGTTAATGTTTTGAAGTTAAACACTGATGGGAGTTCGAAAGGGAATCCGGGTCCTTCAAGCTTTGGGGCTTAATCAGAGATTGTAGAGGAAGGTGGGTGTGTGGATACATGGGTAAAATGAAAGGAAGATTGTATACGAGTTTAGAGGCTGAATTTGGAGTATTTATAAGGGATTGTGTTTGGTGAAAAAGAACTTGTCAAACCTCTTGATTGAGACTGATTGTCAAGTTGCTTTGATGCTTAGGGTGCCTGAGAGAATCGGATAAAGATAATCCAATGAAATCTGTTGTTGATATAGGAAGGATTATGATTGAGCAAAAATGCACTTTGATTCATACAAGAAGATGGAAACTATTCTGCAGATTTGTTAGCAAATTTGGGGGGAAATCAGTGTGAGGAATATAGTGTTTTGGATGAACCACCAACGATTTTGATACCTTATCTTCTCCGAGACAATGAAGCGGGTTATGAGTATGAAAGGAATCACTGATTTTTAAGTTTAATATCATTGTTTTAATAGTTTCGATGATTTTGTAAGTTGTATATAATGCTTCATATTTTGATTTTGAATGAGTTTAACTTTGAGAAATTAAATTGTTTCATTTTATGCTGACAAATATTTTTACAAGTACACGTGTCATTGTTCAATTTAATTTTATTTGATATATTCATGATATACTCTTAATAGGATAGTTACGTAATTATGAAATTATAACACGGGTAAAAATATTTGTAGATATAAAAGGTAAAAGACAATTTAATTTCTCTTTTAACTTTTTATCCGAAACTTGTTAATGTGGGGTAGTAATTATAAGATGATCAGGCGTCGGATAAAAAATTACAGAAGCATCCGATAAAAAATTACAGATCATCGTTTGTCTACAAAGCAAATTTCCTGTCACCTCCCAATTTAAGTATCACTTACAAAAAAACCCAATGATATTGACCTTGACCTGTTTATTAAAGGGAATAGAACTCTAATTGATATGTCATTCGTTTTTGCATTTTGCATAAGAGCTAATTAATAATACCAATTTATAGATTTTTCCGATTCATACAACACAATTTTCTTCTATGATAAACGCATACCAATACCACAAGCTCAATTTATGTAATGCATAGTGTTGTGAAACCTCCACTCAAGTTCACGTACAAGAGAATGAAGAATAAAAAAAATGACACACGCAGGAGGGACCACTAACCTGACATCAGGAATGCAGAGGTAGTGGGACGACAGGGGTAATTTGGGAAATTCAAGGCCAGCTGTCAATTTAGTCTATTTGATGGAAGGGACACCTGGGAGGAGGGCACCAGATTATTCTCATAGAAGTTTCTATACCTGGGAGATTTGTAGCATCTCGAACAGCTACTACCCTTATCATTGCTTTTATCATTGTTCTTATTGTATTGCCAATTTCCAAGATTAATACAAATAGTTATTATTTTTTGGATCCTTCCCTGTTAATTTTGTCCTACTGTAATTGTTCTATAACAAATTGGTATCAGAGCAGTTCTTGGGACTATGGCTGGAGAAAAAGGAGGAGGAAAAGAGACTGGAGGAGCCCATCTCAAAAGGGTGGAATCGTTGGAATTGGAGCTAGGAACATTGTATGATCGATTGGAGAACCAAGGGAATCAGATTCAACACCAAGCTGATTCCATAGCTTCAATCCAGTTGAAGATGGACCAACACCAGCTGAAGATGGACCAAAAGATGGAGGAAATCTTGGGTGCCGTATCCAAAAATCGAACTACAGCCCACCATGGGAAGACCACCGTGGAGGAACAACCTAGCATCTCACCAATTCTTCCCAGCGAAGAAACGCCCAAAGTCTACAGCGGAGCGTCACACAGCGACACCGGAGGAATCAGAGGCGGAAACAGGGGCGGAGAAGGCCACACCGGGGGAACCAACTGGCGATATCGGAAGTTGGATATGCCTTTGTTCGACGGTGAAAACCCGGATGGGTGGATCTTGAGAACGGAGCGATATTTCAATTTTTACAGACTATCGGAGAGTGAAAAGTTGGAGGCGGCAGTTGTGGCTCTTGAAGGAGACGCCTTACTTTGGTTTCAATGGGAGCACGGAAGACGGTCGATTACGCGATGGAACGAACTGAAATCGCTCCTCCTTAGGCAATTCCGACCGATATACGCAGGTACGCTCTATCAACAGTGGTTAGCCCTAAGTCAAATCGGGTCGGTCCATGAGTACCAACGTGCGTTTATTGAATTACTTGCCCCACTTAGAAACATTTCGGACGATGTTATCATGGGTCAGTTCGTCAATGGGCTCAAGGAGGAAATCAGGACTGAGGTCCAACTCTTGGAGCCCAAATCTATTGACCATGCGATGTCAATCGCAATCAAGGTTGAAGGAAAGCTGCGATCCCAAGCCTCACGAAAACCGAATCCTCCCACCTCTCTTACCCTGAAAACGACGCCACTCATCACCCCCATTAAGACCACCATCTATTTGGCTAATCCTAGATCCAAAAATAGCCCCAGTCAGCCTTCAACTAACCGAACCACTGAAGTGCGAAGACTCACAGATCAAGAATTGCAACAGAAAAGAGAAAAGGGAATTTGTTACAAATGTGATGAAAAATGGAATCCAGGGCATCGTTGCAAAAAGAAAGAGTTGAGTGTTTTGATCACCCACGAGGATGAGGAACCAGAGACAGAGCCAATCGTGGGTTTGGAATCGGAGCTCGCGACAGAGATCCCGGAAGAGACTGTTTTATCGGGTATTTGTTTAAACTCAGTCGTCGGAACGAACAATCCAAAAACACTCAAGTTAACAGGTAAAGTGGCGGGTTCCGAAGTCGTGGTCCTTATTGACCCCGGGGCAACACATAATTTCTTGTCTCTAGAAGCAATACAACAACTCAACTTGCCAATAACTCCTACCATGGGGTTTGGCGTATCTTTGGGCACAGGGGAAGCAGTCACTGGAAGTGGGAAGTGTGAAGGGGTCCTACTGCAATTACAAGGCCTTTGCATCCGAGAGAATTTCCTTCCTTTGACTTTGGGATCTTCCGATGTTATTCTGGGAGTCCAATGGTTGGAAACCTTAGGACCGGTAACTACAAACTGGAAAACTCAGCACATGAAGTTCCAGCTAGGTGGCCAATGGGTAACATTGAAGGGCGACCCCTCCCTTGAACGGGCCAAGATAACTTTGAAAAATATGGTGAAAACTCTTGGATCAGTGGGTGGGGGAATTTGGGTGCAGCTCAGCCTCATTGAACAACATCCGATCATTCAGACCTTGCCAGCCTGCCCTAATTACCTTAAACAAATAGTTCATCAATACGCCTCGGTGTTTTCATGGAAAGGGGGAATGCCACCACAGAGGAATCAGCAACATACCATTCAGTTAAAAGAAGGAACTGAACCTGTGTCCGTTAGACCCTACCGATACACCCACACTCAAAAGGAGGAAATTGAAAGACTGTTACAGGATATGCTTAAATCAGGTATTATTCAGACGTCCCAAAGTCCATTTTCAAGTCCAATCCTCTTAGTTAAAAAGAAGGATGGGTCATGGAGGTTCTGTGTTGATTATCGCAATCTTAACAAGTTGACTGTTAGGAACAAGTTTCCGATACCAATCATAGAAGAGTTGTTGGACGAATTGCATGGCTCTCGTGTGTTCTCCAAGTTGGACCTTAAGTCGGGGTATCATCAAATCAGAATGAAGGAAGAAGACATACCAAAAACAGCTTTTCGATCCCACGAAGGTCATTACGAATTCAAGGTAATGCCTTTTGGCCTTACTAACGCTCCAGCAACTTTCCAATCAGTGATGAACGAGGTATTCAAACCGTATCTACGCAAGTTTGTTTTGGTATTCTTCGACGATATCCTAGTGTACAGTCAAAATGAGAGTCAACATCTGACACACATGGAACTGGTATTGCAAACACTAGACCAACACCAATTTTTCGCAAACCCAAACAAATGTGAATTGGGTAAACTGCAAATCGCTTATTTGGGGCATGTGATATCAGAACAAGGGGTTGTGGTTGATAAAGAAAAGATCAAGGCGATCGAAGCTTGGCCAACCCCGACAACCTTGAAGGAGCTGAGAGGATTCTTGGGTCTAGCTGGGTATTACAGGAAATTTATCAAAGGATACGCCAGTATTGCCTCTCCATTGACAGATCAACTAAAAAAAGAAAATTTTGGATGGAACGCAACTGCAAAGGATGCCTTCCAGGCTTTAAAATCAGCGTTGGTGCATACGCCTGTTCTTGCCATGCCAAACTTCAACAAGCAATTTATTGTGGAAACGGATGCTTCCGGGACCGGGTTGGGGGCTGTGTTGATTCAAGAAGGGCACCCCATAGCTTATTACAGCCAAGTGTTAGGAGTAAGAAATAGACTCAAATCGATCTATGAAAAGGAATTAATGGCTATAGTTTTGGCTGTGAGACGGTGGAGGCACTACTTACTTGGCAGACACTTCATCATTAGAACCGATCAAAGGAGCTTAAGGTTCCTGATGGAACAAAGGGAGGTGGGACCAGAATACCAAAAGTGGATGTACAAGATTCTAGGGTTTGATTTCGAAATCCAATACAAACCCGGATCCGCAAACAACGCCGCCGATGCCCTATCGCGTGTAACCCCAGTGGAGGCAGAATTACAATCGTTACAATCTTCGCGGATAGTGCCAATGAATGAACTCGAGGCGGAATTGGCTAATAATTCCTTCATTCAACAGATCATATCCGACATCATAGCAGGGGAAAGAGCTCATGCGGGATACAGCTGGGAGAATGGGAAATTATGGTATAAGGGCAGAATGGTCATACCCCAAAAATCAAAGTTTGTGCAGGTTTTACTCAAGGAGTTTCACAACTCCGTATTGGGAGGGCATGAAGGAAAATTCAGAACCTACCAAAGACTGGCAGCGGAGTGGTTTTGGGTCGGCATGAGGAAGGCGGTTCAAAAGTATGTGCAAGGGTGCATCACATGTCAGACACAAAAATCCTTGAATACCCATCCGGCTGGACTGCTCCAGCCTCTGCCAATTCCTGATCAGGTGTGGGATGAAGTCTCAATGGATTTCATTGAAGGGTTGCCAAAATCGGAAGGGTACAATTCAATCTTGGTGGTGGTAGACCGACTTAGTAAATACTCTCATTTCATAGCGATCAAACACCCATTTACAGCGTCCACCATAGCTGCCATCTTCATCAAAGAGATTGTGAGGTTGTACGGGTTCCCAACTTCCATTGTGTCGGATAGGGACAAGATCTTCATGAGTTTGTTTTGGAAGGAGCTCTTCAAACTGCAAGGCACTCAGCTGCTCAGAAGCACTGCCTACCATCCGCAAACGGACGGTCAAACAGAAATTGTTAACAAATCAGTGGAGCTCTACCTTCGCTGTTTCATCCAGGGAAAACCAAAAACGTGGATCAAATGGTTGCCATGGGCTGAATTCTGCCACAACACCGCTTATCACACGGCGGGAAAGACCACCCCATTCAAGGCCTTGTACGGACGTGACCCTCCCCGAGTCATAAGGGTTCAGAAAGGAGATACAACAGTTTCTGCTCTTGAGGATCAACTCCTAGAGCGTGATGCGATCTTGGAAGATCTCAAGGGACATTTACTTCAAGCCCAACAGAAGATGAAGGCTATGGCGGACAAGAACAGAAGGAATGTTGATTTTAAAGAAGGAGAATGGGTGTTCCTCAAGTTGCAGCCCTATAGGCAGCAGTCCCTAGCTAGTAGACCCTTCCAGAAGCTTGCAGCTAGGTTCTATGGGCCTTTCCAGATTATACAAAAGGTGGGAAGGGTGGCCTACCAAATCCAATTGCCGGACACAGCGAAAATTCACCCTGTATTTCATGTGTCTCAGCTAAAAAAAGCAATTGGGAACCAGGTTGCAGATCCTACTCTTCCAGCTCAGATGACAGAGGAGTTCAGGCTGGATTGGCATCCGAAATCAGTGCTAGGGGTACGTGTCCAAACCGAGGAGCAGGGTCAGAGGACTGAAGTACTGATTAAGTGGAAGGAAGTCCCAGAAGTTGAATCCACGTGGGAAGACTTTGTCACTATGTCAGAATCCTTTCCAGAATTCAACCTTGAGGACAAGGTTGAACTTTGGGGGAGGAGTAATGTTGTGAAACCTCCACTCAAGTTCACGTACAAGAGAATGAAGAATAAAAAAAATGACACACGCAGGAGGGACCACTAACCTGACATCAGGAATGCAGAGGTAGTGGGACGACAGGGGTAATTTGGGAAATTCAAGGCCAGCTGTCAATTTAGTCTATTTGATGGAAGGGACACCTGGGAGGAGGGCACCAGATTATTCTCATAGAAGTTTCTATACCTGGGAGATTTGTAGCATCTCGAACAGCTACTACCCTTATCATTGCTTTTATCATTGTTCTTATTGTATTGCCAATTTCCAAGATTAATACAAATAGTTATTATTTTTTGGATCCTTCCCTGTTAATTTTGTCCTACTGTAATTGTTCTATAACAAATTGGTATCAGAGCAGTTCTTGGGACTATGGCTGGAGAAAAAGGAGGAGGAAAAGAGACTGGAGGAGCCCATCTCAAAAGGGTGGAATCGTTGGAATTGGAGCTAGGAACATTGTATGATCGATTGGAGAACCAAGGGAATCAGATTCAACACCAAGCTGATTCCATAGCTTCAATCCAGTTGAAGATGGACCAACACCAGCTGAAGATGGACCAAAAGATGGAGGAAATCTTGGGTGCCGTATCCAAAAATCGAACTACAGCCCACCATGGGAAGACCACCGTGGAGGAACAACCTAGCATCTCACCAATTCTTCCCAGCGAAGAAACGCCCAAAGTCTACAGCGGAGCGTCACACAGCGACACCGGAGGAATCAGAGGCGGAAACGGGGGCGGAGAAGGCCACACCGGGGGAACCAACTGGCGATATCGGAAGTTGGATATGCCTTTGTTCGACGGTGAAAACCCGGATGGGTGGATCTTGAGAACGGAGCGATATTTCAATTTTTACAGACTATCGGAGAGTGAAAAGTTGGAGGCGGTAGTTGTGGCTCTTGAAGGAGACGCCTTACTTTGGTTTCAATGGGAGCACGGAAGACGGTCGATTACGCGATGGAACGAACTGAAATCGCTCCTCCTTAGGCAATTCCGACCGATATACGCAGGTACGCTCTATCAACAGTGGTTAGCCCTAAGTCAAATCGGGTCGGTCCATGAGTACCAACGTGCGTTTATTGAATTACTTGCCCCACTTAGAAACATTTCGGACGATGTTATCATGGGTCAGTTCGTCAATGGGCTCAAGGAGGAAATCAGGACTGAGGTCCAACTCTTGGAGCCCAAATCTATTGACCATGCGATGTCAATCGCAATCAAGGTTGAAGGAAAGCTGCGATCCCAAGCCTCACGAAAACCGAATCCTCCCACCTCTCTTACCCTGAAAACGACGCCACTCATCACCCCCATTAAGACCACCATCTATTTGGCTAATCCTAGATCCAAAAATAGCCCCAGTCAGCCTTCAACTAACCGAACCACTGAAGTGCGAAGACTCACAGATCAAGAATTGCAACAGAAAAGAGAAAAGGGAATTTGTTACAAATGTGATGAAAAATGGAATCCAGGGCATCGTTGCAAAAAGAAAGAGTTGAGTGTTTTGATCACCCACGAGGATGAGGAACCAGAGACAGAGCCAATCGTGGGTTTGGAATCGGAGCTCGCGACAGAGATCCCGGAAGAGACTGTTTTATCGGGTATTTGTTTAAACTCAGTCGTCGGAACGAACAATCCAAAAACACTCAAGTTAACAGGTAAAGTGGCGGGTTCCGAAGTCGTGGTCCTTATTGACCCCGGGGCAACACATAATTTCTTGTCTCTAGAAGCAATACAACAACTCAACTTGCCAATAACTCCTACCATGGGGTTTGGCGTATCTTTGGGCACAGGGGAAGCAGTCACTGGAAGTGGGAAGTGTGAAGGGGTCCTACTGCAATTACAAGGCCTTTGCATCCGAGAGAATTTCCTTCCTTTGACTTTGGGATCTTCCGATGTTATTCTGGGAGTCCAATGGTTGGAAACCTTAGGACCGGTAACTACAAACTGGAAAACTCAGCACATGAAGTTCCAGCTAGGTGGCCAATGGGTAACATTGAAGGGCGACCCCTCCCTTGAACGGGCCAAGATAACTTTGAAAAATATGGTGAAAACTCTTGGATCAGTGGGTGGGGGAATTTGGGTGCAGCTCAGCCTCATTGAACAACATCCGATCATTCAGACCTTGCCAGCCTGCCCTAATTACCTTAAACAAATAGTTCATCAATACGCCTCGGTGTTTTCATGGAAAGGGGGAATGCCACCACAGAGGAATCAGCAACATACCATTCAGTTAAAAGAAGGAACTGAACCTGTGTCCGTTAGACCCTACCGATACACCCACACTCAAAAGGAGGAAATTGAAAGACTGTTACAGGATATGCTTAAATCAGGTATTATTCAGACGTCCCAAAGTCCATTTTCAAGTCCAATCCTCTTAGTTAAAAAGAAGGATGGGTCATGGAGGTTCTGTGTTGATTATCGCAATCTTAACAAGTTGACTGTTAGGAACAAGTTTCCGATACCAATCATAGAAGAGTTGTTGGACGAATTGCATGGCTCTCGTGTGTTCTCCAAGTTGGACCTTAAGTCGGGGTATCATCAAATCAGAATGAAGGAAGAAGACATACCAAAAACAGCTTTTCGATCCCACGAAGGTCATTACGAATTCAAGGTAATGCCTTTTGGCCTTACTAACGCTCCAGCAACTTTCCAATCAGTGATGAACGAGGTATTCAAACCGTATCTACGCAAGTTTGTTTTGGTATTCTTCGACGATATCCTAGTGTACAGTCAAAATGAGAGTCAACATCTGACACACATGGAACTGGTATTGCAAACACTAGACCAACACCAATTTTTCGCAAACCCAAACAAATGTGAATTGGGTAAACTGCAAATCGCTTATTTGGGGCATGTGATATCAGAACAAGGGGTTGTGGTTGATAAAGAAAAGATCAAGGCGATCGAAGCTTGGCCAACCCCGACAACCTTGAAGGAGCTGAGAGGATTCTTGGGTCTAGCTGGGTATTACAGGAAATTTATCAAAGGATACGCCAGTATTGCCTCTCCATTGACAGATCAACTAAAAAAAGAAAATTTTGGATGGAACGCAACTGCAAAGGATGCCTTCCAGGCTTTAAAATCAGCGTTGGTGCATACGCCTGTTCTTGCCATGCCAAACTTCAACAAGCAATTTATTGTGGAAACGGATGCTTCCGGGACCGGGTTGGGGGCTGTGTTGATTCAAGAAGGGCACCCCATAGCTTATTACAGCCAAGTGTTAGGAGTAAGAAATAGACTCAAATCGATCTATGAAAAGGAATTAATGGCTATAGTTTTGGCTGTGAGACGGTGGAGGCACTACTTACTTGGCAGACACTTCATCATTAGAACCGATCAAAGGAGCTTAAGGTTCCTGATGGAACAAAGGGAGGTGGGACCAGAATACCAAAAGTGGATGTACAAGATTCTAGGGTTTGATTTCGAAATCCAATACAAACCCGGATCCGCAAACAACGCCGCCGATGCCCTATCGCGTGTAACCCCAGTGGAGGCAGAATTACAATCGTTACAATCTTCGCGGATAGTGCCAATGAATGAACTCGAGGCGGAATTGGCTAATAATTCCTTCATTCAACAGATCATATCCGACATCATAGCAGGGGAAAGAGCTCATGCGGGATACAACTGGGAGAATGGGAAATTATGGTATAAGGGCAGAATGGTCATACCCCAAAAATCAAAGTTTGTGCAGGTTTTACTCAAGGAGTTTCACAACTCCGTATTGGGAGGGCATGAAGGAAAATTCAGAACCTACCAAAGACTGGCAGCGGAGTGGTTTTGGGTCGGCATGAGGAAGGCGGTTCAAAAGTATGTGCAAGGGTGCATCACATGTCAGACACAAAAATCCTTGAATACCCATCCGGCTGGACTGCTCCAGCCTCTGCCAATTCCTGATCAGGTGTGGGATGAAGTCTCAATGGATTTCATTGAAGGGTTGCCAAAATCGGAAGGGTACAATTCAATCTTGGTGGTGGTAGACCGACTTAGTAAATACTCTCATTTCATAGCGATCAAACACCCATTTACAGCGTCCACCATAGCTGCCATCTTCATCAAAGAGATTGTGAGGTTGCACGGGTTCCCAACTTCCATTGTGTCGGATAGGGACAAGATCTTCATGAGTTTGTTTTGGAAGGAGCTCTTCAAACTGCAAGGCACTCAGCTGCTCAGAAGCACTGCCTACCATCCGCAAACGGACGGTCAAACAGAAATTGTTAACAAATCAGTGGAGCTCTACCTTCGCTGTTTCATCCAGGGAAAACCAAAAACGTGGATCAAATGGTTGCCATGGGCTGAATTCTGCCACAACACCGCTTATCACACGGCGGGAAAGACCACCCCATTCAAGGCCTTGTACGGACGTGACCCTCCCCGAGTCATAAGGGTTCAGAAAGGAGATACAACAGTTTCTGCTCTTGAGGATCAACTCCTAGAGCGTGATGCGATCTTGGAAGATCTCAAGGGACATTTACTTCAAGCCCAACAGAAGATGAAGGCTATGGCGGACAAGAACAGAAGGAATGTTGATTTTAAAGAAGGAGAATGGGTGTTCCTCAAGTTGCAGCCCTATAGGCAGCAGTCCCTAGCTAGTAGACCCTTCCAGAAGCTTGCAGCTAGGTTCTATGGGCCTTTCCAGATTATACAAAAGGTGGGAAGGGTGGCCTACCAAATCCAATTGCCGGACACAGCGAAAATTCACCCTGTATTTCATGTGTCTCAGCTAAAAAAAGCAATTGGGAACCAGGTTGCAGATCCTACTCTTCCAGCTCAGATGACAGAGGAGTTCAGGCTGGATTGGCATCCGAAATCAGTGCTAGGGGTACGTGTCCAAACCGAGGAGCAGGGTCAGAGGACTGAAGTACTGATTAAGTGGAAGGAAGTCCCAGAAGTTGAATCCACGTGGGAAGACTTTGTCACTATGTCAGAATCCTTTCCAGAATTCAACCTTGAGGACAAGGTTGAACTTTGGGGGAGGAGTAATGTTGTGAAACCTCCACTCAAGTTCACGTACAAGAGAATGAAGAATAAAAAAAATGACACACGCAGGAGGGACCACTAACCTGACATCAGGAATGCAGAGGTAGTGGGACGACAGGGGTAATTTGGGAAATTCAAGGCCAGCTGTCAATTTAGTCTATTTGATGGAAGGGACACCTGGGAGGAGGGCACCAGATTATTCTCATAGAAGTTTCTATACCTGGGAGATTTGTAGCATCTCGAACAGCTACTACCCTTATCATTGCTTTTATCATTGTTCTTATTGTATTGCCAATTTCCAAGATTAATACAAATAGTTATTATTTTTTGGATCCTTCCCTGTTAATTTTGTCCTACTATAATTGTTCTATAACACATAGATATATAGATTTGCAATGGCGTTTCATTTTGAGACACAAATCTATTGTGTATCAGGAGTGTTTGCATATTAATAGTGTTATAAACTCGTAAAAAAAATTATGTACAAATTGGTGATAAAATAAAAATCATTTATATTTATAAGTAAATACTGCATGAATTAATATAAAACAATGTTGCTAGGGTAGATTATTGATAAAAAAAGTAACATATTTTTATATAAATAAATAATTAACTCATGACATAATTAAGATAATTAAGAGGTTGTATATTTTGGTAAAAAAAACTTAAAATGTGGTTTCCATATTTTATCTACAAAAATAGTGTTTGTATAAATTAAAAAAATATGAGATATTATTGGATAAATGCAATTTACGGGGCATGTCTGTTGATTTTGAAGACTTTGCGCGAAAATTAAAAAAGGATTCCTAAAATTTTGGAGTAGCAACGACGAATTAATGACGGAACCACATAAAATTAAAAAAATTCTAGGTTTCATTACGATACGTCTTTTGTACGGTTGTACACCTCACATGTGTTTAGGAACGACGTCTTGTTTATCCGTTAAATCTACCAAATTTATCATTTTTAATATTTTATATAAAATGGAAAAGATTATAAGTTTAATATATTAAAAGCAAAAAAAAATCATTATATAACATGAATATATAAAATAATCAAAGCATATAATATATATTTTTTTGTTGCAATTATCAGTTGCATAATAGTTGAGGGACCATTTTTGTTAACCCGTAAAACAAATCAGATTCGCCGGACATATGACTCCCGATTTTGCCTGAACTTGAGCGCCGACTTTTGATTTTTATTTGCTTCAACGCTACTGCTTACATCTTTCACTCATCGCATTGCCTTTCTCATTAATAGGTAACATCTCAACTTCTTTCTTTTGTTACTAGTTAGGGTTTTGGTTTCTTTCTTTTTTGACTCAACTATGGCTTTCCTGCACAAATGAATGTGTTTTTCACCTCTTTTGTTTCTAGTTCTCCATTTTAACTTCAATGGAAGACTACCATTCGTAATTACAACACTTACTTTTCCTGGATTCAATATCCTTCAAGCTTCTTAGATTCATGTCTGAAGGTAGGTTTTGAGGAACAAACGTGGGAATTTCCTTCATTCGCTCATAATCTTAGCCATGCATTTCATTGTTTTCCTATTATATCTTAGTTATCGTTTCTCGTGGGCGTATTTATGACTCATCTTTATCTTCTGAGGTTTGGATTTGTGAGAGATTTGCGGTTTCTTGTCCTTGACGTGCACCCATCGTTTCTTTAGGGCTTTTTTTTTTCCCTTCTCTTACTTGGGGTGTCGATGAGGCTGTATGCAATGTTTCAAAACAACTAAAGCTAATATGTTTATGGGTGTTTATGGATGATAAACAAATACTTCCATTTATTTGTCTATCATCGCATCCTACTTTTATTTCATTCTGCTATAGCATATTAGCATCATACTGTCCGTTTATTTTCTTATCAACGCATTGTACTTCAAAAAACCAATTTTAACATTTTACTTTTAATTGGTTGTTTCATGTCTATGAACAGATGAACAATTTGCTCCTGCAGCTGTGTAGCATTTAGAATGATAAAAACTTTGGCTCTTCCTAGCAAAGTAAGCAGCCATTGCAATTTGTTATTGCTTTTAATATTATAGCCATCAAGATTTTCTTTGTTAAATTCTATATAATGAAATCAAAAGACTCCACAATTGTAATTGTGTAGAGGCTTTTCTTTATAAAAGCAAAGGAAAGTAACTTGTTTCTTAATAATGTTAATATTTTTCCTTTGGTTAGCCCTCAAGATTATTTGGCCCAAATATTGAAGGTCTGAAAAGAGGTAAAGGGTACAGAGTGAAGATGGAACTTTCTATTGCTCAACCAGATGATTGGCATCTTCATCTTCGTGATAATGAACTCCTTCAAACAGTTGTCTCTCACAGGTTATTTTGACTTTCATTCTCTTCAATTTCCTCTCGATGATCTTCAAATGAATTGAAATCTAAAGGAATCATAATCTGTCATGTGAGGGTATTTTGGTCTTTTAATGAAAATCGGAAGAATAGGATTTCTTATAGGAATGATGAAATCCATTTTCAAGGGAATTCAATTCCATCCATATGGCAACCAAACAGACCATGAAAATGGAATCTTGAATTCCATCAGAATTCGCAAAGCCACTCTATTGCATTTTTTTTTTTTTTTTTAAATAAAACATAAATTTTTTGTGTGATTAAGTTCTTATACTTTTAATCTGATGACAATTATTCATATAGTGCAAAACAATTTGGGAGGGCTATAATCATGCCAAATCTGAAACCACCAGTTACAACCACCGCTGCTGCTGTGTCATATTACGATTCTATCCTCAAGGCACTACCAAACAACACCAACTTCACACCTCTAATGACTCTCTACTTGACTGATAAAACAACTCCTCAAGAAATCAAATTAGCAAGTGAGTGACTCTTATTCAACCATTTTCACCTATGAACATCATTCACCCATTCAAAGCTTAATGGAAAAAAAAAAAGGAAACATGACCTAAATGTTGTCTATTTATACATAATTAGAAACAGATAACAATTAACAACATATATGAGCTTTTTCAGGGGAAAGTGGTGTTGTGTATGCTGTGAAGTTATACCCTGCTGGAGCTACTACAAATTCTCAAGATGGAGTTACAGATTTATTTGGGAAATGTGTGCCTGCACTTGAGGAAATGATTAATCAGAATATCCCCCTTTTGGTAATCTCATCTTTCTATATCTTCAATTAGTAGTTATAGGGTTAAATTAAATGTAAGAAATAGCAACACACTTATATAGAATACAAAACAATTCTCACTGGTATAAATATAATTGTGTAGATTATTCAAAGTACATTGTTGTGATAGGAAAACATTTATGCAGGTCCATGGAGAAGTAACGGATCCCAAAGTTGACATATTTGATCGTGAAAGGGTATTTATTGAAACTGTTTTAAAACCCTTAATACAAAAGTTCCCAAAATTGAAGGTTGTTATGGAGCATGTTACTACTATGGACGCCATTAAATTTGTTGAATCTTGTGAAGAAGGTATGCTAATACTATTATTTATAAAAACATCTTCTTATGTAATCTGTTATTTCCTCAGTAAAAAAATCATATCTCTATTTTGTAACGTTATTATTTTAAAATCAAACATTTTTTTATCAGGTTCAGTTGCGGCTACAGTTACCCCACAGCATCTTCTTCTGAATAGAAATTCACTTTTTCAAGGAGGATTGCAGCCACATAATTATTGCCTTCCAGTGCTCAAGAGGGAAACTCACAGTATGTATCTTCCTCTTCATCTTAAATGCAAGAAACAGCAACCTACTTTCAATTTCATTGATTTGTTTATATTTTATAAGAAAAAGATTGAAAGTAGGTTGCTATTTCTGGTTTCAAGTTTTGATTTGCTAAAACATTCATTTTGTATTCAACTACTCATATAGGACAGGCGATTGTTTCTGCTGTGACAAGTGGAAATAAAAGATTTTTTCTAGGAACAGATAGTGCACCTCATGAAAGGCGAACCAAAGAATCTTCTTGTGGATGTGCGGGTGTATTTAATGCTCCTGTGGCACTTTCTATTTATGCTAAGGTCTTCGAAGAGGTAACTTTCGTGTTTTGATATCACACTTAGAAGCCTCTGACTCAGTCCTGGCTCCTTTGATATGCCTCTTACTCGGTCAGATTCAGATTCACACTGTGTCTGACTTCCTCAGACCTTGACCTTGACTTAGTTACATCTGATTCAGTTAGCAACTATCAAACAACCCCAAAGTAAGAAACAAACAGACATATATATGTCTGTCCAGATTAAGTGCTTAATCCATTAAGTAAAAGAGAAACAATTCAACAACACCTTTAAGCGACTTGTAATTTGGTTTTAGGCGGGTGCACTCGACAAACTAGAGGCGTTCACAAGCTTTAATGGACCAGACTTTTATGGGCTTCCTAGAAACACGAGAAAAATCACTTTGAAAAAGACGCCATGGAAGGTTCCGGAATCGTACTCGTATGCATCCGGAAGCATTGTTCCTATGTCAGCTGGGGAATCGCTCGAATGGCTGCCCATCTTTCCTTAAACGAAACAAATACATTTAACAAATACAATAGGGTTATGAAGTCAAAGGAAGAATAAATACTCGCCTTCTTTTCATCAAGATTGTCTTTTTGGTATGGTCTCTCTTATGGTTAAATTATTGTCTTCCTTTTGGAATTTCATTTCCGTATCTAGGAATTGATTGTGATTTTGATTTTAGAGTTGTCAAAGTTATAAATTTATGTTAAAAGTTTTAAACATGTTAACTTTCTTTCACATGTATCATATTTCGATCGATGGTTAAAATTAAATTAATACCAAATATTAAAAAAATGTAAACATACATTAGTCTTGGATTTTTAAGGGAAAATGACATTGTGACACAACTAAATTTTGGGTTTGTCGTGGATTCTTAAAGTATCATTTTACCTATCAAATAGGGAAAAAACCCAAAATTATTCCGGTTTCACCCGTGGATTACGTGGCTTTTTTTTTTTTTTTTTGACTTTAAATTAAAATTGAATATTTATTTATATGAAATATTTTAAGATAAAGTTATGAAGATCATGAAAAAGCAATCACCGGTCGATCAATCTCCCACCTCAACCTCAGTCAACCTCTCGCGATTGGTAGATAACCGACCACGATTAAGATCCGACTGGGTTTTTAAAAGACGCTTCATGTAATTGCGTTTGCTGATAGTTCATGTGCGACTATATTCTTGCTTTTGGGTTGTTAAATTGGTTCTTCTATTGCATTTGTTCTTCTAGATTTTGGGATTTTCGTTGTTTATGTGTTCACAATTTGATGTTAGTCTTTATTTGGTGTTAACTGAGTTTACATTTTATTTCGCACTTTTTTTTCGTTTTTGTTTTCTCAAAGCCACGAAGAATTGTGTTTGGTTTTCTAGGTTCAAGATATTAGTTTTTGGTTCAAATTGTTCTTCTTCTTGGCGAGCCATCTTCTGGTTTTCTGCTCATCTGCTCCATGAGTGAAATGGTGAATTGTGTTTTCCAATTATTCTCTCCATCTCGTCCTTTCTCATATCTGCTTACATAAATTTGAAACCGTTTAAGACCTTCAAATCGAAAACCAACATCATTCCATCTTCATCTTTGAAAAAACTTGTTCACAAGTCCACATCTCTATATGCTTGGATGCTCACAGATAAGAACAATCATACAATAATATTTGTACATCGTGCATCAAAGATCGTACATAGTCTATAGCTCTCATTAATGGCGTTAATATCACCCCCGACGTTCTGTTCATCCGACGTAGCTCCGTTACAAACCCTCACGACTTTTGTGGTCTGGCCGACAACGTCCTTTTCCAATGCAATGGAAGCTTCTTCTAAAGCTAACGAAGAAGCAACTTCATTATCATCATCCGTTGTTGGAAATTCTTCTCTCCTTCGATCTGCTCCCTCTCGTCTTCATTTAGTGGGTTTTAGATAAAAATTAACAAAAACGAAAACGATTTTATTTTACAAAATCCAGACGGGTTAACAGTGATTCAAGACAGGACAACCACAAACCAAAAAACCGGATCGATAATTGAGATTGAAACATGGGGCATTTGTAATAGAATTATTGGAAATTACGTATGAGAGAGAGAGGGAGACTTGGCAAATTTTGTTGACAAAAGTGTCACCTGACGAGCCATGTCATAGGTGTTATAGGTTGCTTCCTTTGCCTTTCAAAAAATAGTTTATTTGATAGGTAAAATGATACTTAAAAAAAACGATGTTCTTAAAAGTGTCATTTTCAATTGGGAATATGATTTAATTAACTTTTTGATATATTCACATCTGGGTAACTATCTCTTTTTGTATATATCTAGGTAACAAACTTTTTGGAAGTCTTCACATATGACCATTATGACCTGCTATAGCAGGTTAAATCCTAGATGTGAACTCTTTCAACAAGTTTGTTACCTAGATGTGTACAAAAAAAAATAGTTACCCAAATATGAACAAAATGAAAATTAAAAATTAAATTACATGAATGGTCCCTATGGTTTGGGGAATTTGTGGTTTTGGTCCTTAATTTATTTTTTTTTAACTTAAATGGTCCCTACTATTTATTTTTGTTGCGCGTTTGGTCACCGTCTTACCTAAAAATACTATTGTGCCCTTATTAATTTATTTTTTAATTAATTTTCTTATTTATGTATTTATTTTATACATATTTAAAAAAATTAATAGACCACACATATTTGTATCTTCTCGGATGATCTCTACTGTTTATTTTTAATTAATTTTTTTTTAACTTGGATGATCCTTACTGTTTATTTTTGTTACGCGTTTGGTCTCTGTCTTATGTAAAAATACTATTTTTCCCTTATTAATTTTTTTAAATTAATTTTCTTATTTATGTATTTATTTTTTAATGAAAAAAATTAATATACCCCACATATATGTATCTTATCACCGTAAACCTGAAACCACATTTGAGAAATTTAATTTGAGTCTTACCATTCACCATCTTATCTTTGATCCTCCCCATCTTCTATTTCTTTTCCATCTTTAGTAACATCAACGTCTTCACCGTCTTTTTTTTTGGTACTTCAACTCTGGAGAACCAACACCATAACCTACTGTCTCTTCATATTTAGTGGGTTGTGGTGTTGTTTTGACGGAGTTGAAGGACCAAAAAAAGAAGTGATGATGAAGACGTCGATATCACTAAAGATGAAAAATAAATAGAAGTTGAGAATGATGAAAGATGGGATGGTGAGGAGATACAGACATGTGAGGTCTACTAATTTTTCTTAAACATATAAAGCATAAGTACATAAACAAGAAAATTAATTAAAAAAAATTAATAAGGGCACAATAGTCTTTTTAGGTAAGACAAAGACCAAGTTCGTAACAAAATTAAATAGTAGGGACCATCCGAGTTAAAAAATTAAATTAATTAAAAAATAAATAGTGGGGATCATTCGAGGAGATACAAATATGTGTGGTATATTAATTGGAACCATTTAAGTTTAAAAAATAACTTAGAGACCAAAACCACAAATTCCCCCAAACTACAGGGACCATTCATGTAATTTAATTTCTACTTTTCGTTTTGTTCATATTTGGGTAACTATTTTTTTTTACACATTTAGGTAACAAACTTGTTGAAAGTGTTCACATTTAGGATTTAACCTGCTATAAAAGATCATAATGGTCATATGTGAACACTCCCAAAAAGTTTGTTACCTACATATGTACAAAAAAAAAGATAGTTACCCAGATGTAAACATACCGAAAAGTTAATTACCTTGATAAGTCATATTCCCTTTTCAATTCGTGACAAATCCGAAACTTAGTTGTGCTTAAAGTGTCATTTATTATTATTATTATTATTATTATTATTATTATTATTATTTTTTAAAACTTTTAACAAATATCTATGCTTACATATATATTAATATGGGGTCCACCTAAGGCAAAGCCTTTCATCATACGAAGATAGATGGTTTAACAACTTAAATGCTATTGAATTTTCCTAAAATAATATTTTTTTCATTCCATTCCATAATCCAAATCAGAAGTCCCTTGGCCCATAGTCATCTTAATCTGGTCCATTAAGTCAAAAAGTATAAAACTCTTATCTTTCTTCCTTTCTACTACTTTTCATCTTTTTAGTCTTATGTCATAAAAAAAATGACATGGAATATCTTTGATGATGCATCTTTTTTTTTTTATTATTATTTTTTTTACATTTGTTATATGCAAAAATTATTTGCTGAAAACAAAAAATTGAGCAGTTTTGAATGGTCTGGTGTTTCCTTCGTTAAAAATTTAAAGTTTATTTTTTCTTTTAACATAAAAATAAAAATCAAACAAGAAATTATTTTAATACCAAGTCGATAGTCTTTTTTCTGTTTTGGATAAAGACTAAAAATATAAAACTACATACATGCACAATACTTTAAAGAATTTTTTTTTTTTTTTTTTTGTCTTTTAACATACTCATAATCTGCTAAATTAATTATTAAATTTTATTTTAGAAGGGTCAACGTTTAAAATCTTTAATTCTATATATTTTTATATATTTATGTTAAAGAAAACAATTATTGTCATTTTATTTCTTCGTCCCAAAACCTAAAACGCTCATTTGGATAGGCTCGTTAGACCTGATTGGTTAAAGCCCATAATCAAATAATTAGATTTTTTTTTTTTTTAAATGTTAAAAAAAAGTTAGTGCACACAAAAAGGTTTTGGGAGCTTCTAGGTTCTAATTTTTAAGAAAAAACCTTTGTTCAAGAGGAGAAGCTTTTATCTTTTTGGTTAAACAAAAAACTTCATATCCAAAAGTTATTAAGAATGAGTTGTGATATGGTAAGTATGGAAAGGTTTCCATATTGGGAGTTAGATATTGAAAATCTATGTCTAGATTAGAAAATTTTTATGCAAAATGATGTTCAAAGGAATGTACTTTGAGTGAGAGACATCACATCTATGGAATTGCCTTGTAACAATTTTGCGATAGAGAGCTTTGTAATTCATTGGCAAAAGTCATTGTGACCTTAGTGCATTGACATTACAAAAGGATCATTGCATAAAATGTTAAATGTTAGAATCTAACATATACTATAAGTGGAAAGAATTTAATATTCTTTCACTTGTGAAAAAAAGATTAGGAGTTGTGAAATGAGTAGGATTGGAAATGTGTTTATTTGATCTATTTCACAAAGTAAGAACCATAGGTAAACATTATGTGCATACTAAGAGCATGAGACAAGTGTAATAATTCAAGTAAGAAGTTGATTACCCGAAACGACAAATAATGAGTAATCGATATGGTGATAAATAAAAGGTGTTTTATTTATACTCAAAGGTTTGAGGCCATATGGGATTAGTATTATTCTTGTGTTTCACTTTGCATGTTTTGACTTCCTGAATAATTTAATTGGTTAAGAACAGTCAAATTATTCAAATGGGCCACAGTCGTTCATGTCTTGGAAGTAGATATGAAAGAAGACTATCGTGAATTGATGTGTGGATTGTCTAAAGAGTATTAGACATAAGCGAATGTTTGCTGCAACGTTCATGAGTGCTTATGAATATGATTTGAGCATTGGATTAAACCCACGCTCTTGGATCACTTCATGGATTTTATCACGAGTGATGGGTGAGACGATAATATCTTATATTCTTGAAACCGAGATGTGTGAGTTGTATCTTGCGAGTCAGTTCCACATTGATAATATGTAAACGCACTACTAACTTGGTGTTATAAAACATATTGTTGTGTGTGGTTTGGTGAGTAAGTGCAAGCGAGCATTGAGTCAAAGTTTATCCGTTCCTTTTATCCAAA